TCACTGTATTCAATTTTATTTTTGTATATAAGTTTTTCTTTCTTTACAATTTTGGGATCAAGTGTTTTCTAACAAACAGACAAAAATACATCCAGGACGAAATGTATCACCCTGTTCTGTCTACCTGTTTGGTTATATTCTATCCCCCCCCCCCTTTTTTTTTCTTTTTTGGTTTCTGATCTCTTCTGATTTGCCTAGTGTATATTTTGCTGGGGTCATGGTTGATTTTTTTTTTCTTTTTTTGTTCTCTTGTTCGTCTATTCTTCTCTGGACAAAATGACCAGAAGGACAAATTCCCAGAAAAAAAAGAACAAGAGCCAGTAATCACAATGATAGACTTAATAAATATGGATATTGGTAAAATTTCAGAGCTAGAATTAAGAATAGTTAGTATAACGATACTAGCTGGGCTTGAAAAAAGCATAGAAGACACAAGAGATTCCCTTTCTGGAGAAATAAAAGAACTAAGACCTAATCAGGTTGAAATAAAAAAAGGTTATTGCTGAGATACAATCAATAATAGAGGCTCTTACTGCTAGGATAAATGAGGCAGAAGAGAGAATAAGTGATACAGAAGATAAAATTATGGAGAATAAAGAAACTGAGCAAAAGAGAGAGAAACAATTATTGGACCATGAGGGGAGGATTCGAGAGATCAGTGATAGTATAAAGGAAAACAAGATTAGAATTATTGGGGTTCCAGAGGGAGAAGAAAGATAGGGGTAGAAGGTATATTTGAGCAAATTATAGCTGAGAATATCCCTAATCTGGGGAAGGAAATAGGCATCAAGTCCAGGAGGCACAGAGAACCCCTCTCAAAATCATTAAATATCGATCAACACCCCGACATATAATAGTGAAGCTTGCAAATTTCAGAGATAAAGAGAAAATCCTGAAAGCAGCTTGAGACAAGAGGTCCTTAACCTTATACAGGTAGAAACATTAGACTGGCAGCAGACCTACCCACCGAGACCAGGCAGGCCAGAAAGGGCTGGCATGATATGTTCAGGGTGCTAAATGAGAAAAACATGGGACCAAGAATACTTTATCCAGCAAGGCTATCATTCAGAATGAAAGGAGAGATAAAGAACTTCTAGGGCAAACAGAAACTAAGAGAACTTGTGAACATTAAACCAGCCCTGCAAGAAATATTAAAGAGGATCTTGTAAGCAAAGAGAGCTCACAAGTAACATAGACCAGTAAAGGAACAGAGACAATAAACAGAAACAGTGATTTTACAGGTAATACAATGGCACTGAATTCATATCTTTCAGTAGTTACTCTGAATGTAAATGGGCTAAATGCTCTAATCAAAAGACACAGGGTATCAGATTGGATAAAAAAGCAAGACCCTTTGATATGCTGTCCACAAGAGGCTCATTTTAGACCCAAAGACACCTCCAGACTGAAAGTGAAGGGGTGGAGAACCATTTATTTTTTTATTTTTTTATTTTTTTTAAAGATTTTTATTTATTTATTGAGAGAGATAGTGATAGAGGGAAAGCATGAGAAGGGGAGAGTCAGAGGGAGAAGCAGACTCCCCGCCGAGCAGGGAGCCCAATGCAGGACTCGATCCCGGGACTCCAGGATCATGACCTGAGCCAAAGGCAGTCGCTTAAACAACTGAGCCACCCAGGCGCTCTGGAGAACCATTTATTATGCTTATAGACATCAAAAGAAAGCTGGGGTAGCAATCCTCATATTAGACAAATTAGATTTTAAACCAAAGACTGTAGTAAAGGATGAAGAGGGACACTATATCATACTTAAAGGGTCTATCCAAAAAGTAGATCTAACAATTATAAATATTTATGTGCCAACTTAGGAGCAGCCAATTATATAAACCAATTAATAACAAAATTAAACACATTGATAATAATACAAAAATAGTAGAGGATTTTAACACCCCACTCACAGCATGGATAGATCATCTAAGCAGAAGATCAACAAGGAAACAAGGGCTTTGGATGACACACTGGACCAGATGGGCTTCACAGATGTATACAGAGCATTCCATCCTAAAACAGCAGAATACTCTTGAGTGCACATGGAACATTCTCCAGAATAGATCACATCCTGGGTCACAAGTCAGGACTCAACTGGTACCAAAAGATTGGGATTATTCCCTTCATATTTTCAGACCACAGTGCTTTGAAACTTGAATTCAATCACAAGAGGGAATTTGGAAGGAACTCAAATACATGGAAGCTAAAAAGCATCCTACTAAACAATGAATTGAACCAGGAAATTAAAGAGAAATTTTAAAAAATTCATGGGAACAAATGAAAATTAAAACACACTGTTCAAAACCCTTGGGATACAGCAAAGGCAGTCCTAAGAGGGAAGTACATAGCAATACAAGCCTTTCTCAAGAAACTAGAAAAGTCTTAAATACACAAACTAACCTTACACTTAAAGGACATGGAGAAAGAACAGCAAATAGAGCCTAAACCAAGCAGGAGACCAGAAATCATAAGGGTTAGAGCAGATATCAACTAAATAGAAATGAAAAAACAGAACAGATCAACAAAACTAGAAACTGGTTTTTTGAAAGAATTAATAAGATCAGTAAACCCCTAGCCAGACTGATCAAAAAGAAAAAAAGACCCAAATTAATAAAACCATGAATAAAAGAGGAGAGAACACCAAGGAAATACAGTCATAAGAACATGTTATGAGCAACTATATGGCAACAAATTAGGCGATCTGGAAGAAATGGATACATTCCTGGAAACTTATAAACTACCAAAACTGAAACAGGAAGAAATAGAAAGCCTGAGCAGACCCATAACCAGCAAGGAAATTGAAGCCATAATCAAAAATCTCCCAACAAACAAGAGTCCAGGGTTAGATGGCTTTCCAGGGGAATTCTACCAAATATTTAAAGAAGAATTAATTCCTATTCTTCTGAAGCTGTTTCAAAAAATATACATGGAAGGAAAACTTCCAAACTCTTTCTATGAAGCCAGCATTACCTTAATCCCAAAACCAGACAAAGACCCCATCAAAAAGGAGAATTACAGACCAATATCCCTGATAAACATGGATGCCAAAATTCTCACCAAGATACTAGCCCATAGGATCCAGCAGTACATTAAAAGGATTATTCACCATGACCAATGGGATTTATTCCTGGGTTGCAAGTGTGGTTCAACATCCGCAAATCAATCAATGTGATACACTACATTAATATTAATTAATATAGATATTTACAAATAACATCAGATAAAGGGCTAATATCCAAGATCTATAAAGAACTTACCAAACTCAACACCCAAAGAACAAATAATCTATCAAGAAATGGGCAGAAGACACGAACAGACATTTCTCCAAAGAAGACATACAGATGGTCAACAGACATGAAAAAATGCTCAACATCACTTGGCATCAGGGAAACACAAAAGCACAATGAGATACCACCTCACACCAGTCAGAATGGCTAGAATTAACAAGACAGTAAACAACAGATGTTGGTGAGGATGTGGAGAAAGGGGAACCCTCCTACACTGTTGGTGGAAATGCAAGCTGGTGCCACTCTGGAAAACAGTATGGAGGTTCCTCAAAAGGTTGAAAATAGACCTACCCTATGACCCAGCAGTTGAACTACTAGTTATTTACCCCAAAGATACAAATGATCTGAAGGGGCACCTGCACCTCAATGTTTATAGCAGCAGTGTCCACAATAGCCTAACTATGGAAAGAGCTGAGATATCCACAGATGGATAAAGAAGATGTGGTGTATATACACAATGGAGCATTACTCAGCCATCAGAAAGGATGAATACTTAGCATTTACATCGACATGGATGGAACTGGAGGGTATTATGCTAAGTGAAATAAGTCAGAAATACAATGATATGGTTTCATTCATATGTGGAATATAAACTGCATAGAGAATCATAGGAGAAGGGAGGGAAAACTGAATGGGAAGTAATCAGATAGAGAGACAAACCATGAGAGACTCTTAACTATAGGAAACAAACAGGGTTGCTGGAGGGGAGGTAGGTGGGGGCATGGGGTAACTAGGTGATGTGATGAGCACTGGGTGTTACACACAACTGATGAATTATTGAACTCTACATCTGAAACTAATGATATACTATATGTTGGCTAGTGGAATTTATATAAAAGTAAATAGATAAATCTGGGGAGAATAGGGATAAAATGTGAATTCCTGGGCCCCATATCCTGAAATTTGGGCTCGTAAGGGTAGAGAAGGAGTCAGGAATCACAATTTTCAACAAACAGTCCCAAATTTTAGAGATACATATTAAAGTTGGACAGCCACATGTCTTGAGTTCACTACATATTCTCTTATGTCCTCCCAACACCACTGTGAAGTCAGTGGGGCTGGTATTATCCCCATTGCACAGATGAAATTGAGATTCAAAAGAGAATCATTGACTGCTAAATGGCAGAGTAATACTTCACTCAATGCTAGTGATAGTATCAACCTGCCTTGTTACTATGCTACTGGCCACAATTTCAAACAGAAGATATCACTCAATTTACTTATCTTTTTTTAGTTTACCAAAGTAATAAATTTATTTTAGAAAATCCATAAAGGTACAAAAATTAAACATATCCCACCATTCATATATATTGTTTCTGCATATGCTTTACCTGTTTTTGAAAAGTTAAAATCTAATTATATTTTAATACTCTTTAGTAACGTGCTTCCTAAAATTAATGTATTGTGAATTCATCCATTAAACATTTTCTTCAACATTATTTTCAGTGGCAATATAGTCTTCTTTGTGGACTAAAATTCTTTAACCAATCCACTGTTGATGAACAATTTATTTCAGTTTTTTACTATTACAAAAAGGAGCTTTGAATGTTAGGCAACTTAAAGAGGAGTTGGGGACTATATTGTAGCTGTCTAGGGAAAATGAAGCCAAATTTTAAAGGTCATTATATTAAAAGTGTACAGGGTCTGAAATGATATGGCCTATTTCCACAGTCACTAAAAAGATTATTTTATGTTGTTTTCTTAACAGGAACAAGACCATTTTGTTTTACTTTAACTTGTTCAGCTGTACCAGTCCCTCTGTGGTGGTAAACCTACAGTGCCCTACCACACAGGTAAGGCAAAAAATGCATTGCAATTTTGAACATTCTTGGATAAAAGAATCAGCAATTCCATTTGAATTCTGTGTGTGTATGGTTAATGATGAATTTATAGAAGATGGGAAGACATAAGCATGAGCTCATGTTTGTTCATATACAATCAAAATGAAGCAGGATTAATCATTATGGTATTACTAAAGATTCTCAGTGATTTTGTTGAACCACCTATTTTTCTAAAATGAACAAACTGCAACCCTGAGAAGTGGTATTTTTCTCAAGATCCATATTAGGAAGAGCAAAGCTAGCTACTATAACTAATAAACTCGAGTTTTTCAGTGACTTAACATAATAAAGTTTATTTCCTGTCCTGTGACAGTATAAGGCTGGTGGTTTTGGTCAGTGGGCAACTCTTCTCCAGAATCCTTTCATCTGGTGGCTCTGTCTTAAGTCCTTCTTGTCATCTGCATCCACTTGCCAGAAGGAGACAGAAGATAAATAAGCATCTCTTCTCTTATAAGCCTTGGTTTAGAAGTGTTCACACATTACATTTCTACTCCTACAACATGCATATTATTTTTATATGTTCACACCTAGATGCAAGAAGGAAAGACTAAAGCAGTGCCATTGTGGGATAAGGCACAGACTTCAATGGGCAGTTAGTTGGGTCTTCTATAGTCTATCCCTCTGCCCTCCAGAATACCCTTCTTCCCAAGGGAGACAACCCAGGATCCCCCATAGTACTATTTTTAACCCAAAGTCCAAGGATCTCTGGGTGATACATCCTCTCTTTATCAGGTCTTTACATTGAATGCACAATGGGGTATGAGGCTGGGACTATTAGAATACAAACTCCAGTTCAGAAAGGGAGGAGTGATAAATGCACAGGGGTTTCCTGTGCATGGCGCTGGAAAACATTCTTATTCGACCTGGATTGTATTCCCCATTTCAGCCTATGGTCCTTTAACCACCTGGGAGGTTATTTCCTGTCTGCTAGCCTCAGACCACATCATTGCTGAGCATTGGAGATATATGCTCTTTTGAGGGCCATAGAACTTTGAAGCTCCCTTCCTGTTGTGCAAATTTAGCACCTCAAAGATTATTTTAACAGTCAAAGGCCTTTTCAGATTAGGTCATGAATTCTTTGGCAGCACAACTGCCTCAAAAATGTAATAGGCCTTCTAACTTATTTGCTTCCTCTTTGTTCCATGTACTAGTAAACCACACCCAAAGATCTTCTCTGATCTAGTTTGTAAATCTGCTTGTTTGCTCTCTTCCTCATCTCTCTCAAAGACTTTTGATATCTTATTTTCTGCTGAGACTAAAGCCAACTTGAGATATTGGCATCTTAGTTCTGTGACTACCTCTACCACAAGACTTTGTTTTCTACCCCAGTCACCCACTCCCAAGATCAAATCCTTGACCTTGTCATACCAGTAATTACCACCCCTCGTAATCTCAATTTCAAACATCCCAATGTCTGCCCATCTCAATCCCTCTAACATTCCAATTACAATCATTCTATCTCACCGGGACCTACAAACCCCTAATGTTAACCCCTTCACAGTATCCCTCAGTTCCATCATGTTTTCATTTCCCTCTCTGACTTAGATTTCATGACCCCTCTTTAAATTCACTCCCTTATAGAAACCCCCAATTCCTTTGCCCCATCCCACGTAGTTGTACTTCCTGCAAAACTTCATCCCTAGCTAAGTGCAACTTTCTGCCTATTCCATGCTTGAACTCAGGCAGCTGTGAGTTGTTGGAGAAAACCTACATAATAGTTCTTCCGATTCAGAACCACTAATCTCAGTGGGCCCTTAGTGCTGTCCCACAACCACGCTACAAACCCCTTGTCTATTCACTAGCCTAGCTAGAAAACCATTTCTAGAAAACAATTCCACATCTTTTCCTCTTAAGCCTCTAAGAACTCCGTCCCAGTCTCTTTGTCAGCCTCTGATTTTGCTTCTTATTTCACTGAGAAATATAAGTGTTTAGAAGACAACTTTTAAAAGCTCCTACAGTAATATCCTCTTGCCTACCTGTCATCATTTATGTTCATATACTTCTTCAGCCTTTCCTTATCATAATGTGGATGAACTGCCTGTGCTCCTAAGGTCAGCCCATCCATTTGTGCATTATCTCTCTCTCACACACTCAAGCACATCATTCCAGGAATTTTCTGGGTTTTTTTTTTTTTTATTACCATTTTTCCTTCTCTACTAAATAATCCCCATCAGTATACAAACATGCTGTTATTTCCTCTATCTCAAAAAATTCTCTCCTTGATCCAACACACCCCACCCTCCAGGTACTTCTTCATATCTCTGTACCTCTTTTTTGTAAAAGTCCTCAGAATAATAGTCTGTATTCAGTGTGTCTAAATCCTCTCTTCTCATTCAGGCTTTTACTCCTACTCCAATTTTCTCCAAATGATACCATGGACCTCCATATTATTAAACCAATGGCCAATTCTCATTTCCACATTTATTTGATCTAACAGCATTGTTTATTCAAGCCCTCCTCCTCAAAACACCTTCTTTACTTGGCTTCTAGGGCACAACATTCTTTTAGGTTTCCTCCCAACTCTCTGGCTACTCCTTGATACTCTCCTTTGCTGGTTTTTCTTCATCTTTCCAACATCTTGTAAATGTTGGAGCTCCCTCCCATACCAAGCTTAGTCCTTTTCAAAATCTACATTTACTCTTTTGGTGATCTCATCTAGTCTTATGGTTTTAACATCATCTACATGCTGCCTTCCCTAATTTATATATGCCCTCCAGATAAGTCTGCTCCCTGAACTCCTCATCTTTATATGCAACCAACTATGCAATGTGTTTACATGGATGTTTAGTTGGCATCTCAAATTTAACATCTCCAAAACTCAATTCCTAACCTCTTGACTTCATCCTTAAAATTATTCTCCAAACCCAGCAGTCTTCCCTCTTTCAGTTAAGGTCAGCTACAAATAGCATGGAATCATCCTTCATTCCTCTTTTTCTCTTGTACTCATGTGTGAATCTTCAGCTAATTCCTCTGGTCTCCATTCAAAATATACCTGGACTAACTACTTTTCACCTTCTCTTCCTTTTTCCAAAGAACCATCATCTCTCTCCTAGATTAGTTCAATGACTTCCTGACTGGTCTCTCTGATTTTATCCTTGCCCTAATTTCTACCCCTTACAGTCACTTTTCTACCCAGCAGCAAGTGTGATCCCATTAAATATGTCACATTTATGTTTCTCCTTTGTTCAGCCCTTGCCCCCATGGCTTCCCAAGTTACTGAGTTTAAAAGCAAAGTCTTAACAGTGGCTTTACAGGATCCTTCACTGTCTGTCCAACTTTGACTACATGTGCTGTTACTCTTTCTCTACTCACTACCCTCAGGTTATATTACCCATCTCTTGTCTTTAAAGGATCCAGGAGTGCTCCTGTCTCAGAGCATTAGACTTTGCTGTTCTCTCTGCCTAGAGTATTCTTTCTCCAAATGACTAAGGCTTAATCAATAGTCTTCACGTCTTTCCTCAAATGTTACCTTTTTAGGGAGGCCTTCCTTGATTACCCATGTAAAACTGGAATACTACTCAGCTACTTTGTAGCCTCTAACCTCCTTTCTAGCCTTATTTTTCTCCATTGCATTTTTTACCATCTTGTAACAAATAATTTTACTTACTTGTTGTTATCCATTTCGCCTCTACTAGAAAGTAAACAGATTAAGGGCAAGGGTTTTTATCTGTTTTATTCACTATTATGTTTCCAGTGCCTAGAACAGGCTCAGAGTAGGTGATCAATAAATATTTGTTGCAGGAATAAATGAGTGAATTAATATCTTCCTCTTCCCAGTCTAGGAAATTTTCCACTGTACAAATCCATCATTCCCATGATGAAACAAAAATATCTTTGTACATTGTTTTTTATGTACCCATGTACATGTTATTTACATTTATGTTAAGTACACCATAGATTACTTACTAAATCATGCTTTTTTCATACCAAATGTAGTCTTTTAACCTACAGTATAGCTCTTCTACTCACCAAATTCTGATTTGTATTAGAATGTTAAACCTATATGAATTGAATATATAAAAATAATGATGAAGAACTACATTTAAAGTGCCCCTTTGTGGTAAAAGATCTATACTCTAGGAACTACAAAACACTCATGAAAGAAATTGAAGAAGACACAAAAAGATGGAAAAATATTCCATGCTCATGGATGGGAAGAATAAACATTGTTAAAATGTCTATGCTACCCAGAGCAATCTATACCTTCAGTGCCATCCCGACCAAAATTCCAATGACATTTTTCAAAGGGCTGGAACAAACAATCCTAAAATTTGTATGGAATCAGAAAAGACCCCGAATCACCAAGGAAATGTTGAAAAAGAAAAACAAAGCTGGGGGCATCATGTTGCCCGATTTCAAGCTATATTACAAAGCCATGATCACCAAGACAGCATGGTACTGGCACAAAAACAGACATATAGACCAATGGAACAGAATAGAGAACCCAAGTATGGACCCTCAACTCTATGGTCAAGTAATCTTTGACAAAGCAGGAAAAATCATGCAATGGAAAAAAGACAGTCTCTTCAATAAATGGTGCTGGGAAAATTGGACAGCCACATGCAGAAGAATGAAACTCGACCATTCTCTAACACCATTCACAAAGATAAACTCAAAGTGGATGAAAGACCTCAATGTGAGACAGGAATCCATCAAAATCCTAGAGGAGAACATAGGCAGTAACCTCTTTGACATCGGCCACAGCAACTTCTTTCAAGATACATCTCCAAAAGCTAGTGAAACAAAAGCAAAAATGAACTTTTGGGACTTCATCAAGATAAAAAGCTTCTGCACAGCAAAGGAAACAGTCAACAAAACAAAGAGGCAACTCACAGAATAGGAGAAGATATTTGCAAATGACACTATAGATAAAGGGCTGGTATCCAAGATCTATAAAGAACTTCTCAAAATCAACACCCAAAAAACAAATAATCAAGTCAAAAAGTGGGCAGAAGAGATGAAAAGACACTTCTCTGAAGAAGACATACAAATGTCTAAGAAACACATGAAAAAATGTTCATCATCATTAGCCATCAGGGAAATTCAAATTAAAACCACATTGAGATACCACCTTACACCAGTTAGAATGGCAAAAACGGACAGGGAAAGAAACAACAAGTGTTGGAGAGGTTGTGGAGAAAGGGAAACCCTCTTACACTGTTGGTGGGAATGCAAGTTGGTACAGCCACTTTGGAAAACAGTGTGGAGGTTTCTCAAAAATTTAAAAATAGAGCTACCCTATGACCCAGCAATTGCACTACTGGGTATTTACCCCAAAGACACAGATGTAGTGAAAAGAAGGGCCATATGCACCCCAGTGTTCATAGCAGCAATGTCTGCAATAGCCAAACTGTGGAAAGAGCCGAGATGCCCTTCAACAGATGAATGGATAAAGAAGATGTGGTCCATATATACAATGGAATAGTACTCAGCCATTGGAAAAGATGAATACCCAACTTTTTCATCAACATGGATGGGACTGGAGGAGATTATGCTAAGTGAAATAAGTCAAGCAGAGAAAGTCAATTATCATATGGTTTTACTTATTTGTGGAACATAACAGCATGGAGGACATTAGGAGAAGGAAGGGAAAAATGGGGGGGTGGAATTGGAGGGAGAGATGAACCATGAGAAACTATGGACTCTGAGAAACAAACAGGGTTTTAGAGGGGAGAGGGGAGGGGGGATTGGTTAGCCCGGTGATGGGTATTAAGGAGGGAATGTACTGCATGGAGCACTGGGTGTTATAAGAAAACAATGGATCGTGGATCACCACATCAAAAACCAATGATGTATTGTATGGTGACTAATATAACATAATAAAATTAAAAAAAAACAAAAGAATATCCACTTAGGATGTAAGGTATACCATGGTGATAATAGTTAATAATACCATATTGTATATTTGAAAGTTGCTAAAAGGGTAGATCTTAAAAGCTTTCATCACAAGAAAAAATTTTTTTAGCTATGTATGATGACAGATGTTAACCATACTGTGGCAATCATTTCACAATATATACAAATATTGAGTCACCTGAAACTAATAGAATGTTATGTCAATTATATCTCAATAAACAAAAAAAGAATATCCATAAAAAAATAATAAAGTGCCCCTTTGTGGTTACACAAAGAATTGAGTCAGAATATATTTTAGCTGCCAGTAATGGAGAATTGCTTTTAGTCTGCCAGGCATTAGTGTATCTACTGATCCAAGCCATATTTTTATGCATTATGTTTTTTGTTAACTGCCAGCATAGTCCAGACATGTGTCACAAGCATTTAAAGGACACACTGTGATCAATTAGGATACCCTACCTCAATGTGACCTTCATTTTTGCCTAATTATATGTTGATTGCTACTAATCAGCATCGTATTTGAAATGAACAAATTGGTCTGATAGAGGGAGAGAGTAAAGAGCAATTGCTATATTGTATTTTAACAGCTCATTTGTGTCTGGAATGAAATTTTTGATTCTCTTTAACAAACCACTTTTTGCCATTTTTAATTATTTCTTGTATATGTTGCATACACAGCACTTTTAATATGTAGTACACATTGTATGTATGTGTATTTAGGAATACAGAAATCATCATGGTCCCAACTCAGTTCCTACTGTTACTTAAGTCCTGTGAAAGCATTAGTACTTTCAGTATTCATTTTATAAATCCACTTAAATGTACCCAGTAGGGGAACTAGTGAAGTTATCTTTCAAAGCCATATAATTGTCAAAGTCTAAATGTAAAGTATCTTCCAATATGTTAAAGGTATACTCAGCTCCAATCAGAGTGAAATTTTTACATTTGCATTGATGATAACCTTAGCCTTCTTTATAAAAATGTGAGCATGTTGGGGGCTTTGAATGTCCCTAAACAGTTCTTTGGCTTTTGTAGAAAGATACCTGTGAAATTTCAATATTTCCTCTAGAGGTGTGTGAGTGAGTGAGTGTGTGTGTGTGTGTGTGTGAATGCCTATGTATATATGAGAAACTGACAAAGAGAAAATACATATGGAGGCATGAATGTGGAGACAGGTTGTTTGCCTTGTCAGAACTTCTAGAAGAAATTAGGTCACTGCTGCTGCTACTACAAAACAATATTCACTGTGAGATTGGACGTATCCATTTAGTTATCCACCTGCTACCTTGGCTGTGGAGTTGACACCAAATATTTTTGCATACAGTAGAAACATGACCCAAAGAATGGGAAAGAGATGTCAGCTCAGCAGCGGTGTTTTTACCTAGCTGCCCATGGATTGAGCTAGAATCTGGCCAGTGAGAAGTTAACAAAGTACAGCAGGGAGATGCAGCAAGTCAGAGCTGAGAAGGCTTTCATAAGGAGGAACTGAAGGAGAGAATGTGTAAGGACTGCGACTCTTGTGGCTTACTAGGATCTTTGTTTTTGTTTTCAATTACAAACAAAAGCAAAGCCAATAGAGTGTATCTTCTCAGGTTCTGCTTTCTCTCTGTGGAGTTCCTAAATGGATTTCAGTCACTCCACAGTGACTCTGTGGACTACTAGCACAATGATCTAGTTTGGCATTAATAGGCCCTCTAAGGTCATTCATGTAAAATAATTGTATTGGTGACCTCTCTGCCTACATTTGGCTGGTAAAAGACTATAATAATGATTGACTGCCACAAATAGCCCCAATTTTGTTAGTTTCTTATAGTAATAAATCCCCAATTATATTTTGAGAATTGTTGAGAATTCACTGGCACTGATAATTATTAGTGACATAAGTTATCAATATTTGGAGCATGTTTAATGACCATTTTATTCATATATAGGAAAGGAAGCAAGACTCTAACCCTGAAAATACATAAACTACACGGACAAAATTAATCTTGCAAATATTAATCTTGCATTATACTCTTATCTACTAACTCAGAAACTAATAAGGAAATATTTTATTAAAAATCCATCATTGTCCTGTGGTAGTGGTCACATGAACCTACACATGATAAAATTGCATAGAACTGCATGTGCGTGCATGCGCACACACAAATGAGTGCATGTAAGACTAGTGAAATCTACATAAGGTTATTGGATGGTAACAATATCAATTTTTTGGTTGTAATATTGTTCTGTAATTGTGGAAGTTATTACCATTGCATAAAACTGGGTGGAATACATTATTTCTCCCAGCTGCAAGTAGATCTACAGATCTACTGCAAGTAGATCTCAAAATCAGAAGTTAAAAACAAGTCTGTCATTGTACAACATCTTCTTGTCTTAACACAAATCATTCATCAAAGGCAAGGAGTAGAGATTGATAACTAGTACATGAAATTTTATTTTTTACATAAATTAGAAAATTGATGTAAGTTTCTTAGATGTGCTTTGCTCTTTATAGTGGTAGATAACTTAGAAGTCTAAACTTACAGCTACTTCCTTGGTTTGTTTAACTCAATTGAGTTCCCACCGCTGTGTTCCTTTTCTTCACAGATCTGTGTCTCCAAGTGCCCAGAAAAATTTTTAACTTACATGGAAATACAGTTTAGGTACAGAACAAACAAACACTATTGGATGTACTACAGCCAGTTCTGCAAATCCCCTTTTGTTAAGCCTGCAAAGGTATGTGTGTTTAAGCTTAAAACTAGAGAAGAATTTAACTTTTGTGTCAATCTCAAGTGCAACATGAGCATTTGTAATAGACAAGCTCCCAAATCATCTAGGAAATGATTATGTATTGTTCCATTAAAACACAAAGTTACATAGAAACACACATGCACCATTTATAGCTTATCATTGTGTAGACTTCAGGTGTTATGCAAGACTCTTAAGTCTGGTAAGTTAGCTTTAACTGTTCCTTGAAACTAACAAATTCTCTACTTGGCTTGATTTTTTTTTACCATCAAGATCTAGGAGCTAATGTCATTTGATTTTATTAATGTTACCATTTCACTAATGTGATAATGAAGATCCATGGCTACTTAGTAACAAGTAGAATTTTATTTCCAAACCCAATTTGATAATTATTCATTAAAAAAAAAAATCCTCAAACCCTACCTAGGTTTGAGACTTATAAAGGAATTCTAAAGCCCCATTATGTTAAATAGTATTAATGGCTTCTAACTTAAAGAAGGTGCTGTTTTTCCAGAGAAAATTTTTTTGAAGAATTAGAGACTCAGAATGTGACTAAGACATAGATACACACTTTCAAAGGTGTGTCTTGGCTTCAGTGGGTCTGGTTTTATTATTGTTGATTTGATTGAATTACAGTTAGGACATTTTAGAGCATTTGTCAAATAAGTATGTGTGTGTGTAATAATCTTAAAACCACTCTTATTAGGATAGTAATATGAAATAATGAGATAATTATGGAGTTAAATTTTCAAAGGACACAATTTTTATACTGAGAGTAAAAGTTGTCATTACATAGCCTTTGAAATGTTAACATACTCTTCCTTCCATTTTAGACTGTCACACAAGTCTTACTGGATGATGATTGTCCAATAGCAATTTTTCCAAGCAAACCATGTAAGTGGTTATTACTTATCTTAGAACATACAATCATAAAAAGTTACTCAATTCAGTTCCCTATTTCACTTTTGACAAAATTGAAGCCAAGAATAGTTGTATAACTGGTCCCAGAGTTAATTAGAAGGAAGCCAAAGCTAAAGCCCATTCTCCTGACTCCACAGAGATATTTCCACTGGAGCTCTGGTAGTTTTGGAGTTTTGCTGCATCAACATACACAGAAAGGATTAAAAATTGATTTTAAAAGCCCAGATTGATTATTTGGTGTTCTATGAGCACAGATAAGCACACACAGACATAATCTTGCACACTCACCCCTGAATTCAGCCAAAGAGTATGTTCAGAATTTGCCTGGGGGGTGATGGTTGGACATAAACTTGTCCTATAATTTGAAATTTGAAATACTTATATATCTCTTAAAGGAATCAATATTTTATATTTTTAAGATTTATAAATATTATTTAAAGTTTACATAAACTTTGTCTACCTTTTTGAAAAAGAAAATAAAATAATCACTAATTTCCTATTCTTACAAATATAATCCTAACTACAGAGAAACAACTTTACCTAAAGATGCCCATCACAATGCTATTCAGAAGAACCAAAAAGAAAAAAAAAGGAAAGGAAAAAGAAACACTCTTATGTCCAAGAGCAAGAATGTGCTTTAAATAAATTATGGTATAGTCATTAAATGAAATATTTTAGAATTATTAAATATAAGTATTATATAGTATAATATTAAATAAAATGCTATGTGCATTATAATGACAAGCATGTATAAATTAAAATAAAAAAGGCTATGCAAAGAAAAATATTGCAAAGAAATATGCCAAATTGGATGCATGTTTTGGAGATGACAAAACTGTGGGCATTTCCTCTCTTCTTTCTTCTTTTTTCTATTGGAGTAGAAAGCCACGTACCATTTTCTATTTGAGTAGAAAGTCAGGTACCATCGAAGTAGCTACCACCAAACACAATGCCTTATGCGCCCCTCTCCCTTTTCTTTGGGTCACTGAGGACCATGAAGTAAAGATGCAAGCAACTGCATTTTGCCAGGAAGCCCTGGGCAACAAGTGTCAGTAGCCAAGAACAATGTTACAAAAAGATGAAAATGAATCCTTAGTCACTGAAGATATAATAGGCATAAGAATATAAGACATCCCTGCCCTTACAAGTATAGTTTGGTTAAATCACACAATATAAAACGTACACTGGGGACACAGAAATGTATAAGGCATAGTCCCTCACAGTACAGTAAAGGAGACATTATGGTAAACATCACAATCAACTTGTATTCATTCCCCCAATAGGTGATTAAGTATACTACTTAATGGAAGAGTATACAGCTAATAAAATTCACTTACTAAATAGTTTATGAAAGGAAATAAGTAATATTAAAAGAAAGAAACAAGGGAAAACCCTGCATTTATTTTATGGTTATGACTCTCAAAAAAATTTCTTGTAGAAGAACGACTGGAAGGAAATTTATCTAAAATGTTAGAGTTCATTGTGGGTGGTAGGACTGTGTATTTTGTTATCTTCCTTCTTATTTTCTTTATTTTCCAAATATATAATGAGCATATTTAGTCATTGGAACTAACTGATTGGATGAAATTGCCCAGAACAAGGTTGGAGGACTCTGTAGGTGGAAACAGTCCTATTTAAGGAGTGACAAGGGAAAAAACGCACAGAAAAGCTAAAGGGAGGGCAGGAGAGAACTTGGGCATGTAAGCCAAAGGAAGAAGGCAGGGGTTGTCTACTATGTCAAAGACTCAGAAAAGTTAACTCAATTAACAGGAAATATTTACTGTGCTAGGTAATGGGTTCAAGTAGGATGATGAATAAAAGATATTTGGAGTTTTTGGCCATTAGGATATTATTGGGATCCCTGGGAGGACAAATTCCTTGGAGTGGTGGGGGCAGCAGGTGATTGGATTGAGAGGGAATAGGAGCAGCTGGTAGAGACTACTATGTCAAATTTGCCAGGGAAGAACCAGAAGAAGATGAGGAAGATACTGAAGGAATCAGCCATATTTTAAGTGCTACAGAAGATGAAGGTAGGTAGACAAGAGATCATTTTAAGCCCAAAAAGTCAGAAAAGCCTTGGTAAAGACCTATTTCTTCTTTCCCTATATCAACTGCTTTAATATTTTCAAGTTTAAATTCCCTGAAAACCCATGCAAATCTGTGATTCTTCCTGTAAGAAAAAATATAAAAATGATCCACTTCTGACTTCTCTTCCCTCTTGATTTAAAATTGGGGTTTTAAAATACTTTAATAATACAGATTTGTAAAGAGGCAAGGATTCTATTTAAATCAAAATAAGTGCATAGAAGATTGAACAGTGAGGTAGCTCTTCGGAGAAATTATGCTAGTCTACAAACTGTGGGGCATTTTGATAGCTTTAGAATTTCTATTTTCAGCCCCTCCAAAACACCAGGTAAGTGAGAAAGCTGGGAGACAAATTATTAAGACTTCAAAAATAAAAATTCAGTTGTCCTAGTAGCCTGAAGTTTGAGCTAGTTCTTGTTTCTCAAGGAATTATTCACTAATCTCCAGTTTTCAATGTTTCATTCAAGAAGTATCTTAAGATTTTTTTAATAAGAAAAAGTAGGGGTGCCTGGGTGGCTCAGTCGTTAAGTGTCTGCCTCGGCTCAGGTCATGATCCCAGGGTCTTGGGATCGAGCCCCGCTTCGGGCTCCCTGCTCCTCAGGAAGCCTGCTTCTCCCTCTCCCACTCCCCCTGCTTGTGTTCCTTCTCTTACTGTGTCTCTCTCTGTCAAATAAATAAATAAAATCTTTAAAAAAAAAAAAAAAAGGAAAGAAAAAGTAAACTCAGAGCTCCTCGGTGGCTCAGTTGGTTAAGCATCCGTCTTCAGTTTAGGTCATGATCCCTGAGTCCTGGGGTCGAGCCCCTCATTGAGCTCTCTGCTCAGCAGGGAGTCAGCTTCTCCCTTTTTTCTGCCCCTCCCCACTGCCGGTGTGCGCGCGCGCGCTCTCTCTCTCTCTCTCTCTCTCTCAAATAAATAAAATCCTAAAAAAAAAAAGTAAACTCAGTCATACAATAAATGTAGCCTTTTTATTAAAATGTTTTTACCATGTGAGATATGTTATCAGTATTATTCTTTTAACACCTGTGCTGTGCATCTTACTTATTGGCTACGTGATGAATATACCATGTGTAAAATAATCAACAAGTTTAGAGTGTATCTTCAGATTGTGATCATATTTGCTTTTTACATGTGTCTTAGAACCATCAGAAAACCTTCTGACCATCAAGTAATGGGCAATTATCATGTTGAGCAGTATGTTTATACATTGTCTAGCAAGAATCTAATTATAAATAACAGAAAGCTTAAGAAAGGGAAAACGTTACATAGAAAGAAGTAGAAAAATGTTTACCATAATTTTATTTTTTTATAGTTCTCCAGAGATGTTTCCCTGACTTCACTACTAAAAATGGCACTTTGACAGTAGGAAATAAGACAATATTTGAAGATGGAAGTGGAAAGACCAGAAATGCTGTAGAACTCAGGACAGCTGCAAAGTATGTTTGTTTACCTTCTTATTTTCAGTTTGGATGCATCTTATTACTATACGCAAAATGAAAGCTTCCATTAGGTTAAGGGTTGTAGAGGAAGAATTATGCATTGTTATGAAATATACATGTCACTGTGGATTATCAACAGGTATAGAATTGGGATCTCAGTGAGCATATTTAAAGACCTTAATTTACTTGTTGAATGAACACAATAAAAAGATGCTTTTTAAATCACCATTCAAAAAAATTGACTAAGATAATGAAACTGCCAGATGTCTTAAAAGGAAGAGGGCCTTAAGAAAGGCGAGACAACCTTGGTAATGCTGTTTCAGGACCATATCAGTTTCTATGTACTAACTACAGTGAAGTCAATTTACTGTTTCCTTAGTGTACACATTGTGATGTTTCAGGTTATTGGGAAATATAATTCTCTGGGTGGGTACATTCACATGTGTGCACAAACACCAAGTATCATTGTGTAGCTCAATTGTTGAATTAAAAGTGAAACATAAAAGATATTCTAAAAATGTTTTTCTCTTCCTTGAGTTTAGCAGTCCAAGTAGAATGGTCCTGCATATTTAAAATGTAATAGCAACATGGATGGATTTCACAAATATAAAGCTATGTGAAAGAAATCACAAAATAATAGTACAAGTGCAGTTCCACTGATAGAAAAATTCAAAACCAAGCACAACTAAATTAAATTACCCTGCGATGCATATGTAAGTGGTAAAACTGAAAAAGAAAACTAGGAACTTATTATCACAGAAGTCAGGATTGTGGTTACCTTAGGGGAAGGAGGAGGTGTTGTAACTGGGGCACAGGGGGAAAGGGAGAACAATATTGTAGTTACATAGTGCATTCATTTCTGATAATCCGTCAAACTGGACACTAATGATTTGTGCACTTTTCTGTATGTGCCCCATGGTGCCTTCCTGCTACACAGCTGTCAGAGGTTTAGAAAAGGGAATTAAGGATGATGTTCATTCTTGATGCTATGGATTTTGTAAGCTAAAAACTGACCTTATTTAAATTCATTTCTTACAGTGAGATTACTGCAATATTGAGGACATGTCACATACGTTGAAAAGGGATCTGTTCACCATTCTTGAAAGCCATGTTCTCTGTGTAGCTAGAGTGGCCTTTGTAGTTCACCAAAGTGACATCTCACATACTGTTATGGCTAGGGAAAGAGTGCCTCTTGATAAATGGTTTCTAAAAATATGTTTTGAACAGCAGCTTGCAAACCCCTTTTATCATAACAAGAACATTTCTGTTTAGTGGTAGTCAAAATAATTGATTTTTTCCTTCTTTGAATTCAGTCGTGTCAATAAAATCCTTGATGCAAGGGCAATTGGAATGAAAGTATTTGAAGACTATGCAACAACTTGGTATTGGATTCTCATGTAAGTGCAAACATTGGTGTTTCTTCTCCAGCCCCGTTTTATCCTTGTAGAACGCTTTCTTCAAATTCCCCATTCAGGGTGCCTGGGTGGCTCAGTCGGTTAAGCGTCTGCCTTCGGCTTGGGTCATGACCCAGGGTCCTGGGATCCAGCCCCGCATCAGGATCCCGGCTCAGCAGGGAGCCTGCTTCTCCTTCTACCCTTCCCCCTGCTCCTGATTCTCTCTCTCTCCCAAATAAATCTTTTTTAAAAATTCCCCATTCATATTTGTGAATAAAAGGTTGACTCAGTTCCTGTGGCTGAAAAATGGGGCAAAGATATTTGGAAATACACCCAGTGTTACAAAAGTTATAAGAATGTAAATTTGAACTTTATTCATTAAATTCCCAATAAAAGTACTTGTATAAATATACTTCAAGTCATGCAGGGACAACATCTGTAGTACGTTTGCTTCTTATTGTTATGTTACAGTGGATGCAGTTTTATTTCTCTGGGTCTGTTTTCTCATTTGTCCTTCCCTCTTATTTTTTAACACATCCTTTCCACATAATGTTTGTTATTATCATCACCAAAGGTCACTGTAGTTATGAAGAGCTGAAAAAATATATGAAAGGAGGAGGAGATTAAAAATTTTTAGCCATAAGGTTTGCATTCCTGAAAAGGTAAGGGAAAATGCAATCACTCTACTGGAGTGGGTACCTGTGTTTGATATATTTAAGACTATTGCTACTATCTGGCTCTATATCACCTTATGCCTTAAAAGCATCTATGGTTCCCTAGTGATCAAAGAGCAAAGAGAAAACTTCTTCAGATAGTTACAAGGCCCTTTACAACCTGGTCCATTTAGTGTCCCACATTCTTCTCCACCCATGTTACTTGATTGACCCTATATTCTAAACACATCAAATAACACACCCATTCCTAGAGTGTCAAACCCCCATGTTTTTGCACATTCTGTTCTCTTTCCTGGCACATCCTTGCTGTGTCCTGGGCAACTCCATCTCATTATTTAAAATCAACTTTTGGGGCACCTGGATGGCTCAGTTAGTGAAGCATCTGCCTTCAGCTCAGGTCATGATCCCGGGGGTCCTGGGATCCAGCCCACATCAGGCTCCCTGCTCAGTGGGGAGCCTTCCTCTCCCTGTCCCTCTGCCACTCTCTCCCACTTGTGTGCTTTCTCTCTCTCTCTCTCTTTCCTTCTCTCTCTCAAATAAATAAAATCTTTAAAAAATAAAAATAAAATCAGCTTTTGTGTAATTTATGAAGTCTTTCTTGACTTCTCCAGATATAATTACTTTTTCCCTGTGCTCCTCCTACCCACATGCACGTGTATGCACAAGCGTGCACATGCGCATGCACACACACACACACACACACACACCCCTATACATACACACATACCTGTCATCTACATAGCACCTAGAACCTTATGTTATTTACCTGGCTCTTTTTCTATGATAAACTATGAATTCTTTACCATGGTAACCCTGTCTAACTCATCTCTATTTTTGTAACTCCTAGTGTGGTCCTTGGACCATAGAAGATGCATAGAAAATGTGGGTTCAAGGAACAGTTATAAAATCACTAGGGGAACAAGATAGATGTATTTAACTATATGATGCTTAATAAAGTCAAAATTGTGTGTAAAATACCAGTGACTAGTTTGTATAGCTGTAAAACTAGATAGTGTTTTTTGAGATTTTACTCATTTCGATGTTTTGCCTTAAATGCAATAACTATTTTCGTGTGCATCAGTATTTCAGGATCTCTCTCCATAGCACAGATTGTAGTCTATACTTGACAACAGTTAAACTGGTTCCCCTATTGTCAAACTCAAATATCATTAGATAATTTGTACATTTCCTCTTTATTTTGGCTTTTTAACTATTATCTGAAAAAGTATGCATTATGATAGACCTTCCTGTTTACCTCACTCCCAACACACACTGAACCCTCTCCACCCAGGCACTGCTAACACCACTAGAACATAAACACTCCCTTTATTTTTGACTCTTCTGTTCTCCATCTATCTCATAAATATAAAGCCAAAGACTAATATGCCCTGACTTTATTTATTCAGTTAGAATTTTATGCAGGAATTAAAAACACAGAGAATAAACAGCTATATTTCTTTTCTTCCCCCTGACCTTTTTGAATATTCCTCTTGGACTATGCCATAGAATAATCCTTCAACCATATTGAATATTTAAGCATTAAAGTATCTGTGATGTTAATAGGGAATGACTTCTGGAGTTGAAAGCATAGGCTCTGCAAGGATGTGACCTTAGAAGTTACTTTGATACAATACTGTCATCTATCCAGTGACAGGAATTATTAAGATTTTTTTTAAAAAGATAATACTTGGAGACAATAAGCTCAATAAATGTATCAGGCTATGTTTCTGTTTGGAAACTTGAAAGAGCATCGGAGGTATCATTTCTTAATGGAAGCGTCATCCAAAATTTCTAATCTTAATGAATTCTGTTTAATGAAATTACCTAGAAAAATCCAATATGGATTTAACCTGGATATATGAGCTGGGGGGAGAAGTATCTCTAGTATTAAAAAATTTTTTTTAATTAAAAAAAAATTTTTTTTAATTAAAAAATTTGTAAAAAAACAAAAAAAAGTCATGCTGCTGACTGCTTGATAAAGTTATATGGCCCAGGAGATACAGAAGCTCTATCGTGGCTCCATATAATGGCCTACAGGTCACTGGGGATCTGAAATAGATGTCGTGATGTCAGACATCACAAATTATTAAAGATAATTAGACCATAATAATGACTACAAAATCATGGATTCAGGAACTGTGTGGGGCAATTATTTTTCTTTTCTGCCCTAAGACTGCTCCCTTACTTGTAGATAGTTCTGTTGTATAGGGTTTCCTTCTATTAGTATCATGGATATGTTTTATAATTTATCACTTAGTGAGACGTGTGGAGGGGAAAAAAAATACAGCATGGCAACTGTGGCAGATAGGCCAAAATGGTAGGTTGGAGGAATTGTGTTTTTCTTTGAACTGTGGTTGCTACTTAACTTCTGTTTACCCAGGTACACAAATACTAACTCCGGTATGAAGTTCCTGATGGTCCTACTCTTTCATATGAAAGTCTTAATAGGAACTATTGTTTATACTTTTTAATATTATAAATATTTCTATAGCCAGCTAAAATAAAATAATCTGAGAATTATTTTGAATAGAAGATGTTGTCTTGCTGTTAACTTTATGTTATGTTTAACACTCTTGACCCCTGTCTGTTGTATGCTTTTTCCTCTAGTGGCCTGACTATCGCCATGCTCCTTAGTTGGTTGTTTGTGATACTCCTGAGGTTCACAGCTGGATTCCTCTTCTGGGTCTTCATGGTGGGTGTGATTGGAATTATAGGTTACGGTAGGTATTGCCCTTCTTAAAAATCACTAAATATCAAAATAGTCCTTTTCTTTTCAGTTGCCATTATCAATTACTAGGAAGCATTTAACTTGCAGTGAATTTAATTATTTACTTCCCACCCCCAAAGTGTTAAATTGAGAAAAATTATTTAATTTTGCATAAATTATTTCTATAACTTTTATCTTCTTTATCTTGAAAAAAAGTGCTATCAAAATGTTCTACCCTTTTTCCTTACTGACCTTTGGTCCCATGCCTTATGGTTTTTAAGGAGGTAAAAAACACCATTTAGGTTAATGAAAAACATTTCAGAAAACGTATTTTATTCCTTTAACTTTCCTATCTGATCAAATGGTAGGTCTGTATAGTTACAGAAGTGTGATCTAGTTTTCTCTTTCAACTGAGTAATTTTAAGCCGGGTACTGTCAGACTTTCTAATAATTGGCCAGTACTACATAATGAGGCGTCACTCCCTAGAGGCAAGTATTCTGAATTACACTCTTTGGGTGGAGAGTTAGTTTATATCAAGTTTGAAATCTAACCAGTAACCCTGTCCCCTTAAAAGCAGTACAGGTACAGTGTGAACACCAACAAAGGAACTAAAGTTTCTCCCAAGGAACAGTATAGCATTTATGGCAGATTCCTTCAGAGTGCTAATAAACATATGGGCCAATATATGAATGTTTGTGAGGTTTCTATTCAAGAGTAATTTCCCCTAAAATACCATTTGGATTGACAATGCAGTTTTATGGTAGCAGACACCAAAAATAGCAATTTCCTATTATTGTCACCTGAAGAAGAGCTTTGCACATATCAATATAAGAATGCAGTTGAATCCCCAGGTTCTATAGTTAGCCTGAATTCTAATCCCAGCTGCATAACAGATAACTGAGGAATTTTGGAAATGCTTCCTAATGATTATAAGACCCAGTTTCCTTATCCATAACATCAGCATGGTAATGGTACGTATCTCCATCTCACAAGATTGTGAGGATTAACTGAGACAATGAATATAAAGCTCTTAGAACAGTATCTGAAAAACAGTAAACACTCAATATGTGTTGGTTTATTGTTACTATTCTCCTTGTTATCCTCAATAGGCTTCTAGACAGTTTCAGATCTCTTCAGGGTTTCCTTATCTGCTCCTTCTGTGCAGCTGCATGTGAAAGGGTTGAGTCAGTCCGGTGGAGGAATATAAGAACTGCTACCCCTTAATCGAAGACTCCCAAGAAAGCTTTTTGTGTAAAAGTCTTTTATGTATGTTTCTGCCCTTTACTACTATAAAGCCTGGGCATGTGATTCAGTCACTCTTTTATTGTCATCAAGAAGGGAAAGACCGTATTGTCTGGTATTGATTTCAGTGACTTGTCGTAAGGAGCAAGAAAAATCTGAGATTGGCTATAGTGAAGTTTGACAGTGCCAAGAGGGAGAAAGGTCATCAATATATCACAAATACAGGTGAAACAACCAATGTCAGCTCCTTGTTGACTTCCTAGGTAGTGCTATCTCAGCAGTTAATGGTGTGGCAAGTCAGCTTAAAGCCATTCACTGAGTGAGGAAATGGCCAGTTAGATTTGAGAAGTATAACACTGTGTAACTGACCTCTGCTACTATCTTGGACAACGACTTTCTCTGTATCATGGGAAACCAATCATTTCCTATTAACAGCAGCCTATTTACTAGAGAAAGCAACATACTGAGCAGAGAAAAAGCCAGGCTGTTTGTGGGTAAGTGCCTTGAACGTCAGTGGAACAATTCTTATTGACCAGAATAAATTAAGATTTATCCAGGAAAGGTCACAGATCAGTGGGGTTACAGGCATGGATTTGGAGATTGAAAAGGCACAGATTCATTGCATATTAACTGTATGATCCTCTGCACGTACATAGTCTAATTAGTAATTTCTTCAACTATACAATAGGATTTGTGAATATTTTTAAAAATGATGTACATGAAGCCCTTGGAAAGCTGCCTAGTACATAATGTTCAGTAAAAAGTCTCGGTTATAGTTGTTAACACAGGAATGGTTGTTGAATTTTCTCAAATGCTTGTCCTGCATCTATTGAGATTATCATATGATTTTTATCTTTCATTTCATTAAAGTGGTGTATCACATTTATTGATTTGTGGATGCTGAACCATCCTTGCATCCCTGGAATAAATCCCATGGTGTATGATATTTTTAATGTAGTGTTGAATTCAGTTAATATTTTATTGAGGATTTGTACATCTGTGTTCATCAGGGGTATTGGACTATAGTTCTCTTTTCTTGTGGTTTCTGTGTCTGATTTTGATATCAGGGTAATGCTGGCCTTATAAAATGAGTTTGGAAATGTTCCCTCCACTTCTATGTTTTGGAGAGCTTGAGAAGGATGGTATTAATTCTTCTTTGAATTTTGGTAGACTTCACCAGTGAAGCTATCTGGTTCTGGCCTTTTGTTTGTTGGGGAGATTTTTGATTACCGATTCAATCTTCTTACTAGTAACCGGTCTGTTCAGATATTCTATTTTATCATGATTCAATCTTGGTAGGTTGTATCTTTCTAGGAATTTATCCATTTCTTCTAAGTTGTTGAATTTGTTGGCATATAATTGTTCATGGTACAGTTGAAACTTGAACACCATGGGTTTGAACTGCATATGTCCACTTATATGCAGACTTTTTTATACATACAGTACTGTGGGAAAAGATGGCAGAGGAGTAGGGGACCCTATTCCAACCATCCTCGAAATTGAGCTGGATATTTACCAGACCACTCTGAACACCCACGAAATCAGCCTGAGATGTAAGAAGATAGATCTGGATCTCTACAAACAGTATCACAGGTGTTTGGTTTCGAAGTATGAAGTGGGGAGCCATGATTCTGCAGGCAGATATTGGAGGATAAACAAGGGGGAGGGAGTCGACCTGTTGGGATCCTACACCACCGGTGAGCGATAGCCTCCCATCCTGGGGACCGGGCACAGACTTGCAGACTGGTAGCGAGAGGGAAAGGACTTTAGGGCAGCCCCCCAGATGGAAACCCAGAGCAGCGGGGCTGCATGTGCAAACTGGGGGTGGCTGGTGGTTTTAGAAGCACAAAGGGCAGAGATGTGCCCTGACCTGGAGGTGAGGACTGGGAGTGCTGTGGAGGGGTGCACAACTCAAGACCCTGCAGTTTATAGCAGCACAGACAGAAACGGAGATAGTGTGGCCTGGAGAGCTCACTGAAGAGCAGACTGCGATCTCTGCTCTGAGGTGAGTGTTGGAAATGATCTCTTCTGCTCTTTCAGAAGAGACATGGAAAACCGCCAGGGAAAACCACCAGAGAACAGAAGCCACAAAAGACCGGTTTTCACTGAGCCCATCTCCTGCCACATGGGGCAGGGCAGCTTTGCCCAAACAGGGTTACCTGAGTAACAGCATGGCAGGTCCCTCCCCCAGAAGACAGGCTGGGGAAACAAGAGGCCAGCAACCCTAAGGTCCCTAGAAAACAGGTGCATCTTGCTTGGGTTGTGGTCAATAATTTGGACTCTATACATTCCCTCAACTACCCATCAACAGAATGACTAGGAGGAGGAACCCCCAAAATAGGAGAGACTCCGAGACTATGACTTATGCCACAGATAATGGATACAGATCTAACCAAGATGTTGGAGATGAAATTCAGGCTAGCAATTGTGAAGACAATAGCTAGAATGGAGAAGTCGATTAATGGCAACAGAGAGTCTCTAAGGGCAGAAATGAAAGCTGAATTGGCAGAATTTAAAAATGCTATCAATGAGATCCAATCTAATCTAGATAATCTAACAGCTAGGGTAAGCAAGGCAGAAGAATGAATTAGTGATCTAAAGACCAGTTAATAGACAAGAAGGGAAAAGAGGAGGTCAGGGAAAAACAACTCAGAATCCATGAAAATAGAATCAGAGAAATAAGTGACACCATGAAACGTTGCATTGTCAGAATTATTGGGATCCCTAAGGGGGTGGAGAGAGAGAGAGACTAGAAGATATATTTGAGCAAATTGTAGCTGAGAACTTCCCTAATTTGGGGAATGAAACAAACATTCATGTCCTAGAGGCAGAGAGGACCCCTCCCAAGATCAAGGAAAACAGGCCAATACCCCAGCATGCAATAGTAAAACTCGCAAATCTTAGAACCAAGGAAACCATCTTAAGGGCAGTTAGGGGGAAGAGATTACTTATGTACAGAGGGAGGAACATCAGAAAAATGTCAGACCTATCCACAGAGACCTGGCAAGCCAGAAAAGGCTGGCAAGATATATTCAGGGTACTAAATGAGAGGAACATGTGGCCAAGAATACTTTATCTGGCAAGACTTTCATTTAGAATGGATGGAGAGATGCAGAGCTTCCAAGACTGGCAGAAACTGAAAGAATATGTGACCACTAAGCCAGCACTGGAAGAAATAAGGGGGGTTCTATAAAAGGAGAAAGACCCCAAGAGTGATATAGAACAGAAATTTACAGGGACAATCTATAAAAACAAGGTCTTCACAGGCAACATGATGACAATAAATTCATATCTTTCAATAATCACTCTCAATATGAATGGCCTAAATGCTCCCATAAAATGGCACAGGGTTGCAGATTGGATAAAAAGACAGGACCCATCCATATGCTGTCTACAAGAGACTCATTTTGAACCTAAAAATACATCCAGACTGAAAGTGAAGGGATGGAGATCCATCTTCCATGCCAACGGACCTCAAAAGAAAGCTGGGATAGCAATTCTTAATTCAGACAGATTTTAAACTAAAGACTGTAGTTAGAGACACAGAAGGACACTATATCATTCTTACAGGGTCTATCCAACAAGAAGATCTAACAATTGTAAATATCTACACCCCCAACATGGGAGCAGCCATCTACATAAGCCAACTGTTAACCAAAATAAAGAGTCATATTGATAACAATATGTTAATTGTCGGAGACCTCAATACTCCACTCTCAGCAATAGACAGATCATCTAAGCAGAAAAATCAAAGAAACAAGAGCTTTGAA